AAAAACTTTTTTCCACTATATAGTAGGTACTCAGTAAATAGCTGTTCACCTGGTGTCCTTTAATCAATGGATGTGGCTGTTTGATTAAACAAATGAGTTAGTGGATGAATTCTCCGGGCTCTTGAGGGGCTATGAAGGAATAGTCTTATCCCATATTCAAATTATGCAAGCATGAGAGCCGTAGTTAACACTGTTTTAAAATCTGGTTGTTGGGAAACCAACATAGAACTGACCCAACCCCATGATAATGGGTGTCAGTTGGGAGGCAGGGGCAGTTTATGGGGCCTCTAGCAGTGGATCAGTATTTATCCCTAGTACATGAATGGACTTTGGGAACCCATTCCACATTGAGGGATACCCTCCCAGCCTAGACACATGGGGGAGGGCCTAGGCCCTGCTTCAAATGATATGACAGACTTTGAAGTTCCCCCATGGAAGGCCTCACCCTCCCTGGGGAGCAGACAGGGGATGGGATAGGGAGTTGGTAGGGGGCAGGGAAGGATGGGAGGGAGCGAGAACTGGGATTAACATGTAAAACAAGAATAGCTGTAAAAATAAAAATTTAAAGAAAAAAATCTGGTTGTAAGTAGAGGCTGTGAGCACAGCTCACATCACAGTGAGGGGAGCCTCTTTTGAAGGCTGAAGTTAGCTTTGGGGGCAGTAATCTGAGAAAAAAGGCTCTCAGGTTAGATACCTGAACTGGATTCAGACACTATCTGGATGACTGGGAGTTAATCCCTCTCCATCACAGAACCACAGCTTTTTAAATTGTGGATCATAATCCCATGCAGTCATGTAATTCAGTGTGGGGGGGGGTTACAAAATATTTGGCAAAAGTAAAAGTTTTCTAAATAAACAACAACCAAAGTTAAGTGAAAATCCGACATGTAATAAATACAGGGAGTTTGTGGCAGCAATCGCCCATGTTGCAGAGTGCAAGCAAGTCTGCTGCAGCCTTGGTCCTAAACACCTGCTACATGCACTTCGCACCACACCTGCCAAGACACCAGGCAACACCCACAGACCCTGCCTGAATCACTGCAGCTCAGATGCCAAACTATGTGTGTCTGCAGGACTTTGACTCTTCACACAAAGCTTGTCTACTCTTCCAGAAGCATAAGGTTTTAATTACAGAAAACAAAGACTTTTAATGTGTTCCTCCCATCATTCCTTTGCATGAACAAATTGCATTGTTTTGAGTTAGAATGTTTGATTTGAAAAACTGCAGTCTGAGTTGCTGACTTGACTTTCATTTAAAAAAAATCATTCAATGGATTTTGGCTTGAGATTAAGACAGAATTTCCAAGAATTTCCTAACTAGCCCCAAACATACTTCTGCCATCTTGGACTACATTGTTTATGCTATGCAGCATTCTTAGTAGTAATGATTATAAAACCAAACTGTAGATCAATTCTGAAAAATACTGAAGATATTCTGCATACTGCAATATTAAGTGTACAACCAAGAGTTAATTCTTTATGTAAAATTGAACAAGCACATCTCCTTATTATGCAAATTCCCTTTTTCTTTAATACATGGAAAATGTATATATATGTATATATGTCAATTATTTTATGATTTATTATCAGTAGATGTTTAATTTGTATACTTATGTTATATACCTATATGCCAGGGATATATCAGAACAAAGGAGAGATCAGTGGAAAGTTTGAAAAGCCCTAGTGTAGACCAAGAGACTGAAGGGACTCTGGGTAAAGGAGCTCTGCTAAAAAAGGGGGTACTCCATAAGGAGTAGGTAGGGAGAAAGGAATGAAGACATTGAGACAAGTGCTCACAGAGCTAACACACTCAGCTTTCTTTCCTGTAACAAAATACTCGAGATAGTCAACTTACAGAGAGAAGGGGTTACTTTGGCTCAGCTTTAATCTCGCTATGTGAAAGCCCGAAGCAGAAGTGAGTCCTGGACTATGTAATAAGACTCTATGTTTAAAAACTAGAAAGGAACAATGGAAAGGGAGTGGGTGAGATAAAGAGAGAGGGCAACAAAGAAGGGGGAAATAAGAACACAGAAAGACTCAGGGGGTGGTGGTGCAGTCCTTTAATCCGAGAACTGGGGAGGCAGAGGAAAGCAGATCTCTGTGATTTCAAGGTCAGCCTGGTCTACAGAGTGAGTTCTAGGACAGGCTCCAAAGCCACAGAGAAACCTTATTTCAACCCTGCTACACAGAGAGAGGGGGGAGGGAAGAGAAGAGAAGAGAAGAGAAGAGAAGAGAAGAGAAGAGAAGAGAAGAGAAGAGAAGAGAAAACACCTTTGAATTCAGGGAAAATATTTCCTCAGGACTAGAAAAGTTCATGCAGTCACTGAAAGGAAGCCACCAAAGTCAAGCAAGTAGACAGATACCTGGAGTCTCCAGAAATTCTGATCAGCACAATTTCATACTGTCTCCAGCAGCACTGGGAAGCTGGGAAGCTGAATTACTCAGAGAGGCAGCTTGAGCCCAGATGAGCCATCATAATGGGTTCAGCACACATGGGGACCTGAGGGGATAGCTTCATCCTTGGTGGCAGAATCATTTCACAATTATAGAAGCAACTCTATAGATGTGTTTGGATCAAAAGAGCCACAATGAACCCATCTTGCCTCCTTCAAACAAAGCTATATTTTATTCTGCCTCCCAGGCAGAAGAAGTACTGGAAATCACCCTGCCCAACCTTTCCTTGTCATGACTTCATTGTTAAACAATGGCCATGTCTTTGGGCACTGGGCTCCTCCATGTCTCAACCTCTTCTTCAGTGTTCCTAAGACTACATGGATGATCTCTGGATAATGGTGGAACTAATACATACCCCTCTCAAGGCTTTCTCCATTTCAAGCAGACAATGGCCTCTAGCCCATCTGACATCAGACTCTAGTTAAGAAATGAAACACCTTGGTGGTGTTAGTTTCTGATACTTGTGGACTTGTCCGTTTCAGCAGGGAGTAGTAACTGCTTTTCAAGATACCTTTGAATAACTCAGAATTGCTGATCAACTAGAGTGTAGACACTTACCCTGGGCCTCTACAATTATAAATTAGGCATGTAAATTAAGCATCTATTGATGATAAATCACAAATAAATTTATTTTAAGGTAATTGTTTGATATACAGATAATTTTATCATTTATTAAAGACCAAAACCAGATTTGTGAACTAATACAATAGGTGTTTTGTGTAATTTTTCACAGCTCTTGACTGAATGCTTGATACTGCATGATGTAGAATATCTTCAGTGTTTTTCAGAACTAATCCATATTTTGATTTTGTAATCACTAATATTGAGATATTATGGCTTTACATAAATATTCAGAACAAAATTGTAGGTGTATGTTTAGGACCATGTCAGAAATTATTGAAAATACCCTATAATCTAAGTCAAAATTCATTGAATAGTTTTAAGACAAGTCACAACTCAGACAGTAGTTTTAAAAACAAATATTCTAACACAAAACAATCCAATAAAATACTAATTTTGTCTATATATTGAGGAATAACAGCTGGTAGATGTTAAAAGTAATCATTTTCTATAAACTATTATGTTTATAAGACCAAAGAATACAGATAATACAAGCTTATATAGTAAGTTCAAGAGCTAACTATGGCTACAACAGATTCTAATCCTTCTTAAGCAGAAATTATATATTATATAGAAGTATATATTATGCACACATATGTAATTATATACATGTATGATGTATACATAAATTTATATTGCTATATAGTAAAATAACAATAAAAATTAAAAATAAACACAACATTGAAGTTCAATCGAGATTCCCAGACTGAGCATGGGTATTTCTGGAAATGTTTGCCAGTGCTATGTGAACCGCAGACGTATGCAATGCCAAGTGCGCATGCTGTGTGTTCAGAGGCAAGACTGTAGTGATGTCACATGACACAACACAGGAACACCTCTAACTTAGTTTGAGTTTAATTTGAATCAATGTTTGGTCTTGGGGAGTTTAGAAACCCTTACATGTTGTCACACTTTTTACAGCTCCCCTGATCTGCCTTAGGACCCCATATGGTCAAGACCCATATTTCCAGAAGCTGGGAGTTAGTGAAGGGATGAAGATTACTGTTAACCACAAAGCTAAGAAGATATAAGCCACCACGAAACCCATCTTCACTGTATAAAGCACCTCACTTATCTAAAGGATATCAGGGCCGTACTTTATAAAAGCTAAAGCCTGGGCCTCCTAGCTGAAAAGCAGTACAGTGCAGAGGTCTGAAATCTACTAGGCAGCTGGCTAATCGAAGCCTAATCCAGCAGTCACTTTATCCCCTCAGGTCATCCTGGAGGAAATAAGTCCTTGGAGTTTGCATATCTCACACCAGGTAAGAATAGGACTAGAAGTGATAAGGAGGCACAGCCTGAAGGGACAGAGCACAGCACTCTGGCCATGCAGGAGAGAAGATTCAAGAACTTTAGAAAACACACCAAAGTCAAACAGCACAGCTCAGGATAGGGCCTGGGGTAACCCTGGTCGTGGTGACTCTCAGCATCCCAGTGGCGAAGGCTTCTAAAGGATCTCAGCCCACAAACATGGTGGCTACAATGATTCCTTAAAAAGGCCAAACACTTTTAGGGGGTCTTTGGAGGTGCTCGCTCAAAAGGCATTCAATGTTTGAAAACACGAAAGCTACCCTGAGTCCTGAGATGCTATACAAAGGTCTCAAAAATGTGTGCCATTGACTATGGTCGGATACCCGCTTGGAGACAATGGGTGGTCCCTCACAGTTAGTGAAGGAAAGTGGGCTTCCAGAAGAAAGATCCAAGTCTCCTGTGATGGAGAAAGGACCTTAGAGATCAGAGTCAAGACCTGACACAAAGGTCTGGAGATCAAGTAATGTACTAGCCTCTCACTAGAGGGTCTACAGCCAGTGATCTTGCTTCTCGAACCAGGATGCAGCCACCTAGGTCACATTTTCCCAGACAGACTTACATCCTCACCATTCATCCGAGGCTGTGAGCTGGGCCCAGAGACTCGATACACTCACCTGAAGAAAGCAGTGTCCAACTGGGGTGTGCTCAGCAAGGGTGACATTATACACCTGCCACGGGAAAACGGGCTCATTGTCATTCACGTCGTCCACAATAATGCTCACCAGGCAGGTGGCAGAAAGTGGTGGCTCTCCCAGGTCCTGGGCTACCACCCTCAGCTCCACTGCCTCCTGGGCCTCTCGGTCTAGAGATCGGAGAGTGCTGATCAAACCATTGTCAGGGTTGATGCTGAAGGGTGGGACACACTCTGCCTTGAGTGACAGAGCCTCAGAGTCGCAGGGATCCGAGAGTTGCAGTAGCGCATATCGAACCCTGGCATGATCCGTGCCAGCCTGGTCCGCATCCAAAGCACTGACCCAAACCACCGAGGTTCCTGGAACTGCGGCCTCGGACACTGAGGCCCAGTAATGCTCCTGGCTGAAGACAGGTGGCTGGTCATTGAGGTCCGAGACCCAGAGCAGCAGCGACTCCTCTGTACTCAATGGCGGTGACCCTTCATCGGTGGCTATTAGTCTTAACTCATATAGATCGCGGCTTTCCCTGTCCAAGAGGCCCTCGATGCAGAGGAAAAATACTCCGGGAGGGCCTCCTGGCCGCAGCGCGAAGGCTCCGTTCCCACCCTCCAAGGACAGCTTGATGCTGCCTGTCCCAAGGCTCGCACCAAGCACCCCAGTAGCCTCTTCTTTCTCTGGGTCACCATCTGCGTCGGACACCGAGACTCGAGCCACATAGTCTCCTAGCCGAGCGCCCTCGGAGACGCGGGCTGTGCCTCCCTCGGTAAGAAAGAGCAGGTGGATGGCGGGCGGGTTGTCATTCACGTCCAGCACGTCAATGGACACGCGCACGGTGGCTACCTCTGGCTCTGCGCCCCCGTCGCGGGCCTGGACCACCAGTTGGTGCCAGGCCTGCGCCTCGCGATCTAAAGGTCTCTGCACCCGCACTATGCCGCTCAGCTCCTCCACCGAGAAATAGCCCGGATCGCCAGGTGGCCCGCCAGCTGCGCCCATCAAGGACACTTGTCGCTCCCGGATGCTGTAGCGCACCAAGCCATTGGGCCCCAAGTCGCGATCAGTGGCAAGCACGCGACACACCTCGGTGCCCGGCTGGGCGTCCTCACGTACTGAGGCGCGGTACTCGCCCTGCTCGAAAACTGGCGGGTTGTCGTTCTCATCCAGCACACGCAGCTGTACGCGCAGGCGGCCGGTGCGCCTAGGACTGCCACCGTCCCAGGCTTCAATCTGCAACTCGTACTCTGCCACCTCCTCTCGGTCCAAACGCCTCAACAGCACCAAGTCTAGGGGCTCCAGGGGTGTTGAGGACACCGACTGAGGCGGCGACACAGGTGGCCCCAGCGACCCATAGCGCAATTGGAAGAAAGGTCCTGCGGGGCCCTGGAGCAGGTCGGATGCTTGCAGCAAGGTGTAACCCTGGATGCTGAACAGCCCCGCGTCCGGGTCCTGGGCTCCCGGCAGGCGGAAAGCAGTGCCTGGGGGGCTGAGTTCCGAGACGTCCAACTGCAGGGAGTCGCGGGGAAAGTGGGGAGAGTGATCGTTCACGTCGTTGACGTGGATCTCCACCTGCACCACCTCGCCCAACAGCGTGGCCGCCACGAAGCTGTAGTGGTCACGCCGCTCGCGGTCCAGACGCCGTGCGGTGCGAATGATGCCGGTGTCCGGGTGCACGTGGAAGTCATCCAGCAGCGGGGAGTCATCGGAGTCCTCTGACAGAAAGAAGCCGTTCCCTTCCAACTGCTGAGCGACTGGCAACCCCGCGCGAATGTCACCAACCAGTGTGTCGGGGGGCAGCCCCTCGTCCACAGAGAGGCTGAGATTGAACACCTGGGCAGACAAGCCCGAGGCAGCCCACAGCCAGGAGTGCACGAAGAACCAGAGCAGGGAGCGCGGCGTCCCGGAGCCGCAGGGCCGCCCCCGGGGTGACCCCGCTGGCTGACGCCCTTCTCCCATCCTCCGCCCAGCAGGGTTCATCTCTTCCCCAGCTCTTTAGGAAGGCTCCGGATAACTGCCAGCTTGTGGCGGGATCGCAGAACAATCCAGGAGCTTCTTCAGTATCTGAGCCAGAGAAGAAAAGACTTTGTTTGGCAAACAAACCAAGAGACCCAGGAGTTCCCAGGGTGACATCTGCAACCGGTGCAGACGTCCTCTGCCCGCAGCTCACGCAGGCGGTGGCTGCTCTAGCCGTCTCTGCCGCCAGGGCCACCTCTGCAGCCCCTGGATGTTTTTAAGCCAGTCCCAAAGCTTTTTCTCTCTTCGTCTATTCTTTCTACATCTGTTCCTTGTTCTGCTCGGCTGACTGTTTCCCCCTGGTAAAGTCAGGTGCATTATTTCTTTTGCCAAAAAGGAGGAAATTGTTTAAAGCGCGCACACAGGGAGGAAGGGGATCCGGCCGGGAAGGGGGTGGAGTAAGGGCGGGGAAGCCGAGAGAGGGCGCGGGGCGGGAGGAACGGTGGGAGGCAGCGCGGCTCCCACATCAGGCTGCTAAGGCATCCTTTGCCTCCCGCTCCCCCGCCCCCCCGATCCCGGCGTCTCCAGGCGCTGGGGACTGCGCAGCGCCCCCTCCGACCCGGTGTCCTACTCTTCCGTCCCCTTCCTGTGTTTGATGCGGCTGGCTTCAGGGCGAATTCCAACCTGCGAGTCTCGGTTCCGTAGCAGGACTGAAAGGGAGCCGGCGGGATGGACGCGCAGCCCACGACTCTGGTGCTGATGGAGGAGGCGCAGACCGGTTGTCTGGCCAGGCTTCGTGTGCAGAGTGTACCGGGCCAGCAGCCTACCGGCACGCTCCCTCTCCACCCTCCCGACAGTCCTCCTGTGGGCCTGCCCTTGGCTGGGGTCGAGCTAAGAAGGTAGAGGTTACTATGGTCACTTTGGGGAGCCAAACTTGTGCTCTCTATTTGGCGAGAGAACCTCATCCCCAGCGGAAGGACAGATGGAGTCGAAGGCCGGCCGATGAGCAGCTGGGGCCGGTCTGACTGCAAAGAAGGCGGAACTTGGAAAGAAAGGGGGAAAAATTTAAAACCCTTCCAGAAAACCCAAAAAATCTGTGACACACATGGTGCAAAGCACGTTTTATTATGCCGCGCTACTATTCAGCGACGTGCGGGTATCTTGTCACTCCCCTCTGCCACTGGCGGTGACGACAGTGAATGGGGCTTGCCAACCTTTTTAGGCATCCAGCGCCATCATACCTCCCAGCATATTTTATGATGGTGATTTATGGGCAAATGGACTACATGACGTAAGCACCAGCACCTAAGCCCTGCCTCCACCCCTAAAGGAAGGGTGCGAGCATCTGCTGCTCAGGCAGCTTCCAACGTAGGCTGAACCCAAAGGCAATCCCATTCAGCCTGCATAGCCTCCGTTTCCTTCCAGTTATCCATAATTATCGGTAGAAACTGATGCATGGCCTCTAATAAAATATGCTCCAACGAAGGAGTCTGCCCTCTTGAGAATGGCCGGACATATGTAGCGAACGGTTTCTGCAATTTTGCATTTCGACCAGAAGGAAGAATTAATCTCCTAGATACTGTTCTGTGCTAGAGGGAGATCCAAAAGCCCAGCATACTGGTTCCGGGTAACCCCAGTGAATCACCTTGTTATATTCAGTGGCCTATGCATATCTTTGCTAATGGGCAGCCACACCACCTTGTACCTCTGACAAAATAATAATAAAACCATTTTCCTAGTACGAAGATGTGCATGTATGTAAATGGAGATATTGTTAAAATAAAGTCAGCCTCCTCTTTATCAACGCAGTGCCTGAATCGTTGGGAGATCTGGCTTGAGGCTTTGGAGTCCTCTTTCCCAAGGCAGCAGGCATCCTACCTCCTGGTAGTCCCTGCATAAGCAGCTCTCCACCAAGCATTCAGATGAGTTTCTAAAGCCAACCCACGTCATTGTAAGCCCTGTTCAGAACCTGCGGGATATCTTCTTCAGTCCACTCAGGCTGTTTCCGGCTCCTCCTAAATTGCCTGCCTTCCTCTCCTCTCCTGGATCTTAGAACCTTTGAGTGGTTGCAGCTTGCCTGGAGATCTCTTCCTGGCCTGCAGAGCAGGCTCTTTCTCATTCAGGTCTCAGATGCTAACTGAGGGGAGGGGACCTCCCCCCAGCGCCCTTCCTCTAGAGGCCCCTCCGGGAAACCAAGCCCCACACATTGTATCTCATTCTGAGCACCTTTGAGTGCCTGAGAGCAGCTTGCGTGGGTCATCTGTGTGTCCTATTACTCCTACCTAACCCTCTTCTCAGACTGGAAGCACTGCCTTAACCGCCACCTGGTCTGGGGGTGTCTAGTGCATAGTAGGTCGCTCTTGCCTAAACATGTCCAGTGGCTGGGATGACTGATAGACAGAAGAATAAGTTTTTGATCAGCGCTTTGAAACCACAACTAATTGGCCCTGAGATCCCTCACTGTGGAGAATCCCTGTGTTGCCTTGGTTTTATTCATCCTGCCAAGCTCCCTGAGCCTACTACTTTGAACATTTTCATCTCACCTGTAAATTGTATTTACTTGCCACTCAAAGAAAAAGCAATCTTTTTCTGCACATGGCACTGACATGTGTTGCATTAGCAGAGGTTTATTTTAGAAACAAATGGAGAGTTGGGTCTTGGGACATCCACTTTCCTGTTGGTTGGTCCTTGGTTTTATAATTCAAACACACACATGCAATTCCAGGTTTTATAATTCAAACACACACATGCAATACCAGGTTTCCAGACCGTGTCTCAGTTCCCTTCCCTGGTAGTTTTGAGCAGATTTCTAGACTACAAGTCCAGTTTTCTAAAGTAAGAGAAATTCTGAAACACGTGAAAACAACCTTTGAGACTGTGGTTTCAAACTGGGCATCAGTGGTGAAGCCTTTAGTCCCAGCACTCAGGAAGAAGAGGCAGGAGTTCGAGGCCAACCTGGTCTACAAAGCGAGTTCCAGGACAGCCTCCAAAAGCAACACAGAGAAACCCTGTCTCAAAAAACTGAGAGAGAGAGAGAGAGAGAGAGAGAGAGAGAGAGAGAGAGAGAGAGAGAGAGAGAGAGAGAGAGAGAGGGGAGAATGTGGTCTTCTTTAAGTCCTGCAAGAGACTAGCCTACATCAGAGTTTTTGAGGGAAGAATCAGGGTGTGGCTGGCAAGCCCCTTTGCCTTTGAAACTAGTTACCCTCACTCTGATCTACAGGTTATGGAGTTTTGCTAAGCTTCTGCTCCCTTTTCTTACAGGGGAGCAATACAAAGATGTTAGGGCCTTTAAAAGAGACATCGAGTAGATTACAAACAGGAAGCATCCCCTTATGCTGCCTTACAGTCTTGTTTTCATGGGGAAATATTCTAGGGGTAGGTTTTCATCTCAGCTCTCACCTCTCAGCCTCCAGATTTTCTAAAGGAAGAGGACATACAGTTACCACAATCATGAGCGGAAACTATCAAGCTAGAGAGGCCGGGGGCATATCCTCACCAGGCGCTATGTGGTCTCAGTAGATCGGGATGGCCACCTTGGAGACCACTTCCTCCTTGACTGTAGACAGTTCTTTGCATTGTAATGCTTAAATAGAACAAACAGTTATAAAGTGCTCAAAGCAAAACTCATAGCATCTCATGCCAACCCTTTAAGACAAGAATTAAAATGGTTAGCCCTGTCTTGCAGGTGTGGAAATTGATGTCCAGGGACTCTGCCGGTGATGTGACCAAAGTCACATAGGGGGTGGGTAGCACAATGGTCCCTAAGTCCCGTGATCCTCGAGGACAGCTCTGTCTGGGATTCATGGTCACTTACTGAGCCCTCTGCTGGTTGTTTATCTCTGCAGTTTCCTTTAAACGCACCGTCTTCTGGTTTCTCAAGGAGAGCAGCACAGTGATAAAATGTGAGAACAAGTTGGGCAAAGTGCAAAAAGAGTTACTGGGATAGACAGCATGTTTGTGGATGTGAAGGGGACACAGAGTGGTCACAGGAAGTGACTGCTTGGGAGTGAAAGCAAAGGGCATCGGGTATTGGAAAGGGAGCTTGAGGGAAGTGCAGGCTTTCTAGCATTCTGCCCATGGGTAGACCCTCTGAGGATCACGGTGACGGGAAGCCCACTAGCATTGAAGCTACCATAGACATCAGCCAACTCTTTCTGGAAAAAAATGTGAGCCAAAGACTATTTGGAGTTTGAGATGGCTCCATTCTACAGGTCAGGTTGACTAGGCTGTGATGCCTTGTCATTCAGTCATATACCAGTCTGGCAATTGCTGTGAAGTTATTTGGTATGTCATCAACATTTATAATCGACTCATGGAGCCTACCATCCTTAATGGGGTGGTTGGAGAGCATCATGCAATCACTGAAGAACTTTCAAGCAGAGGGTTAAAGAGTATTCTGCCTCAGGACTGTAGGACAGGAATCCAGATTGAGTTTCCAGCATGCTATCTTGATCAACTCTCCTTCACTATAATAAAATGCCTGGCATATGAACTTATCTAAAGAAACTTATTTCAGTTCATACTCTGGTGTTTCAGTCCATCTTCAGCTAGTCCTATTACTCTGTGTCGCACCTGCTGTGCAGCCTGTATCCGAGAATGTAGCGAGGTGGTCGGGATAGATGACACAGAGAGTCGGTTGCTTTAAGAAAACTTTATGCTTCCCCAGTCAGCTTAGGAGGAGCCCCCAAGTCCGCTTAGGAGAGCAACTCCCCAAGAAAAAACGCTTCCCTTTTTAAGGACTTCTGCCATCCATCTACATACAATTCTCCAACAGCTCTCCCAGACTTCTCACCCTCCTGGCTGGTGGTTTAATCTCCGCTCCAGAATCAGGGAGAAACAGCAGGGAGCAGGAAGAGGCATCTAGCCATAGGGGGTGTCAAAGTCATGGTGTTTCAGTGAGCAAGCCCTTATCTGAGCCCTATCAAGAGCTTTATAGTACTGAATTGTTTTCAGTAAACATTATCTCACAGCTGCCTGCTCCCAGGCCTAAGGGGAAGTGGGTTTCTGCTCAAGGTCTGGTGTCCCCACAACTCTGGGTGAGATAGTACTCCATGTGGCAGTGAGAATGTGGCAGAGAGAGATTTCCCAACACATGGCCAAGAAGAGAACCGAAGGAAGAAGTGTCTGGAGTACAAGAGTCTCCTTCAAGACCACCCCATCAATGAGGCGAAGGGTC